TCTGAATTTATGTTTTATCTGTCTTTTCCCCCAATGCCTCAGTGTCTCTCTCTACTTAATTTTATTTTACAGTCTTTTTGAAGGTGACACGATAGGGGATAAGTTTGATGTTTTGCCTTGTTGTCCATTCAATCTAACTCTTCGACAGGCCAAAAAACTGTAAAAACTGTTCTCTAGATACTTGATATATATACATACTATAGAATATAAAAATACATTGGAAACTTGTGCACTTACTAAAGCAAACACAATGATTATTCAATAAAGTGAATGTGCTTTCTACAATGGGAAATAACATGTGTGCAAACTTCAGATTCACAAAAGTTATAGATCATATCTACTATATCTCTAATTATTGGACAAGGAAGAAATATTGACATATGCACTGAACCAGCAATGCAAATTCAAAAACATTTTAAAAAAAATAAAATACATTCAGCACTTTGAAGATCTGAGATGGGGCAGTTCCACAATGTCCTCGCTTGTCTAACTTGGAAAAGTGCTGTGACATCTAATATGGTCTGTCATGGAATTGTGTAATAACACCTCCTTATGTCTAACACACATACAGTAACACGTCTTCCTGTTCGAGATGCAAAAAAGCTGTGATGAATCATCCCAATATGGAATGGAATGTCTTGTCATATATGAAGGTGCAGTGATGACTCCTACTGCAAAAGTACAGTGATGATTCCTAATGTGGGATGTGCACTGATAACTTCTTGTTTTGTTAATTGGATGGTGTGGTGATGTCTCCTCCTGTCTCCACTGGACAAAGCAGTGCTGTTTGCTCCTGACTAATATGAGATGGTGCAATAATGCCTCCTGCGGTCTAGCATAATGACTCCTCATTACATGCAGTTTACAGTGACTTCTCCTACCATGGGACATACAGTGATGACTGCACCAACATGGAATATGTGATGATGACTCCTCCGAACATGGAACGCAAGGTAGTAAGCCTTATAACGTAAAGCATACAGTGATGACTCCTAACATGGAACATGTGGTTATGCATCTTCCTAACATTGGACATGCAACGTTGTCACCTCTTATCTTTATTGGAACAGTGTGGTGACAATGCATTTCATCTCCTCCTGTTTATGATGGGCAATGCATTTCACCTCCTCCTGTCTATGATGGGGCGGTGCTATTCACCTCATCTTTTCTATGAAGGAACAGTGCATATGATGTCCTCCTGTCTACCATGGAATAGTGCATTTTACCATCTCCTTTTTACCATGGGACAGTACAATAAACCGTGGGGTGGAGCAGTGAGAAAAAATCCTCCTGTCTCCCATGGGACAGTGCATTTTACCTCCTCCCGTTTAACATGGAAAAGTGCTGTGAATATGCCACATGTTACAGAATGCCACTTTTATGCCTAACTCTGTCTTATGAAGGATAGAGAGGTAACTCTTCATAATGTTGGATGATGCTATGGCACAGTGAGATCTTCTCCTGTCTAAGGAAAGATATTGTAGTAACTAATCTCATCATCTGACATGGATATAATTTCCATGTCAAAACCACATAATGAAATGTAAACTAGGTACATATGCTGATTCTGGATGAGCGTCACCTCATGCCAAGCCAAGGAGCACACAGTAATTAGACCCTGTATTACGAAGCACCCTTAATATCCTTGAGATTAAGATTCTATTGCTATATTACAATTGCAGCTTAAAATCCTATATTATATTGAAATAATTACAGAAAGGAGAGTTTGGACTGTGGAAGAAAAATAACTCCAGAGAATCTCAAAGTTTTCTTTTACAGCATTTCGGTGTCGATGCTTCCTTAAAATGCATTGGCTGACATTACCACAACACCGCATAGACAGAGTAACCTTGGCCCTCCCAATGAATGTGCCATTGATGGCCCTCCTGATTTGAAGAGGTTGGGAAGGTCAGTGCGTTTTCAGGGTGTATGCTCATTTCGAGTCAGTTTTCTCACTCATAGCAGATCTCATGCTATGCCCATCACAAGTGCATTCTGGGTCCCAGGGTGTTGATCAGCTGAGCTCTCATGATCTGAATGCTGGTTAAGATCTTCCGTTGATGGCCTATTAATGAAATCCCAAGTCTTCTGATGTCACTGTGCAAACAACAAACATTATAGAAAGCACATTTCAGACTAAGGCCTAACCAGAGGTTATTTTAGAAATCCGCTTTAACATGTTCAGTGTAGATTTCCTGCAGAGGGAATATGGCTGAAAACGATACAATTTGGAAGGATGAGTCTGCATATGGAAGAATAATGTAGATTGTTAAATATTACGGAACATGGCAAATTATGGTAGAATACTGCAGTATACGCTAGATCATGGCTGAATACTCTAGTATATGGCAGATTATGGCACAATACAGCAGTATATCTTAGATTATGGCTGAATATGTAAGTATTGGTCAGAAAAAAACTGAATGTAACTGAATATAGCTGATAGAGGCTGAATATTGCAGAATGTAACCGAATATGGCAGAATGTAACCGAATATCTCAGGAAGAGGCCAAATATGGCAGGAAGAGGCTGAATATGGCAGGATGTATCTGAATATGGCAGGAAGAGGCTGAACATGGCAGAATGTTATTGAATATGGCAGGAAGGGGCTGAACATGGCAGAATGTTACTGAATATGGCAGAATGTAACCAAATATAGCAGAATGTAAGTGAATATGGCAGGCAGATGGCAGAATATGGCTGCCCACATGTTTAGGATATGGACCCACCTGTGTTATTTATGAATTATTCAGAAAGTTTTAACCCAGTCTGCAAGTCAGAAAACTTAACGTCAATTAACATCTAATTATTGCTCATCTCTTGTTTGCACTGGATGGTTTTATGGTACTTACTCAATGTTCATCCTCATCACCATCCCTAAGGAAGTGTACCCTCCCATTACAAAGTTTTCCTTGTATCGACCCATCTTGATCGAATCCAACCAATCGCTGACTGTGCCGCAGCTGGCAAAGTCAAAAAGCCCCCTATCCACACGTGGATGAGTGAATCTATAATGAAAAAAAAGGCTTTGAAATAATTAGTCGCATAAACATAGAAACATAGAATGTGATGGCAGATAAGAACCATTCGGCCCATCTAGTCTGCCCAATTTTCTAAATACTTTCATTAGTCCCTGGCCTTATCTTATAGTTAGGATAGCCTTATGCCTATCCAATGCATGCTTAAACTCCTTTACTGTGTTAACCTCTACCACTTTAGCTGGAAGGCTATTCCATGCATCCACTACCCACTCAGTAAAGTATTACTTCCTGATATTATTTTTAAACCTTTGCCCCTCTAATTTAAGACTATGTCCTCTTGTTGTAGAAATATATTCTACAAGAACCCAGTGCAATCCATCAATTAATAAATAAAACACATACATATCTATTCATTTGTCAAGAGTGATATTCAAGGACAATTGAATAAATACATTTTACAAACAATTCCTGTTCCATGCAGAGTGATGAACACAAAGTTATTTTCACAGAATTAAAACATAGTAATTGGGTTAATTATCACCGATATCCACGGCTACATAATTAAGGTTTTGTAGAACAAGCATCCCACGTTTACCTGTTGACTGTGGCACTGGCTTTCAGATGTTCAGGATTTCGGATAAGTTTATCTAAAATACTGACGATCAGAGAAAATCGAGGCCTTTCATTGCGGTCTCTTTGCCAGCAATCCAGCATGAGCTGATGTAAAGCCGTTGGACAGCCCATGGGCGCTGGAAGACGATAGCCTTCCTCGACTGAATTTATCACCTATGACAGAAAACAAAAAACACGGAACAAAGGGAAAAACACAAACATACCAACTTCAGTCGTGTTATGCAACAGGTGAAGTACCGCACAATTTGTACTTTATCTTAATCCATAGCTTGATATGTGTAGGTGTAATTTAAACAAAGGGTTTTAGGCTGAGACGTGATTCACAGCTGGCGAAAGCGGCTGTTTGGCATATGTCCAAGAATAAAACTGCTGCTATAAATACATGTATTTTACTTGTGTTGATCATTGTTTAAAAAAGGTTTGCACCTTGCTAAGTTGATAAAGACATACAGTAGGCTGGAACATTTGAAAGTGAACTAGTTTCACTTTTTAATTAATTAACTGCAAAAACTAGTATCATTCTTCACCTGGATCGAACTAACCATTGTTCATGTGTGTCCCAATTTGCTAAAAAATTCTTCAACCCTCTATAGATTAAGTTGTTCTTTCTATCAACCCAATTTATCTCGTGGATGGATTTTAGTTTTATATTCTGGTGGCATTTTGCGAGAGTTAGATCCCCCGAAGGACCGTCAGGTTTTGTACAAATGCAATAAGCAGGCTATTTGACTATTTTCATTCTTCAATTTTTGTCAAGTTTATTCGTTGTATCAAAAATTGTATTTCGACTTCTATGGTAATATTTTATACACAGACTGAGATAATGCGGTATATAGGGCACATTCCAATCTCTAAAAAAAATGATTTCTCCATTTTATTATGTAAAAGACGAGCACATTTGAAATAAAGGATAAAATGAGTAAATGTATATCAGTTTGTTTTTTTGGCAAACGCAGAATAGAATTCTATTAGAATTCTGTTTAGCCTTACATTAATGTAGTAGATATACCTCCCACCTTGGAAATAAATTGTTTGATTTATGTTTTTTTTACTAATATTATGAGACAAATGTACTTAAAATACATGGGATAAATGTCATTCACTCACATCCCGATTGGTCATGTTCCAGTAAGGTCTCTCCCCATACGCGAGGACTTCCCACATGACAATGCCATAGCTCCATACATCGCTTGCTGATGAAAACTTGCGGTGCGTGATGGCCTCTGGTGCTGTCCAGCGTATAGGGATTTTACCGCCCTGATTTAAAAAAATAAAAATAAATTTAATTTACAGATGCAAAATGATAGACATTTAAAACACTGACGCAAACACCCAATCCTTGAGAATTTAGAAAATAACTTCCCTCTAAGTGTAGGTAAAATAAGTATGGGTGGCATAATTCACCTGCCTTTCTAGAAGGATCCCCGGATTCACTTCTCATTAGTACTGGTCAGTAGACCTGTGCATTTATTTGCGGCCAAATGTGAATTCATCCAAACTTAGGGCAATATATTCATGTGTCAAAATCGCGAATGAACAAAATATATATGAAAACCAAATTGCTTGTTGGATGAAACTAGTCCATACAATTAATTCTGTCTTTATATGTTTGTCTAATGAAAAAGTTAGCAGACCACTGACTCCATCCTTGAAATTAGCATCTTTAAAAATGCTTTAGTCTTACCTGTGGGATTGAGGGGGTTCTCAGTTTAATGAAGGAGACCTTTCAAAGGCTTCTCTCAAGCCCCTCACCCATTGCGGCTGGGTGAGGGGTTAAATCATGGCATCTTTAAATTGCCCATTCCCGCTTCCATTATTAATTGCTCATCCATTTGCAATGGGTGACGGACATGGGGGGAGCCTGCACCTGATCCCCTCCATGTTAAAGTAGTTCCCTCATCTCACAGTTCAGAAGAGGGTGGACAAAGCACCCAGCAGCTCAACTGCCAACAACTCTCATTTGTTTAAATGAAACATCTTCCTTAATTTTGTAATGAAATTGTTTTTAAGTTCCAATCACACCTTACACGTTTTTAAGTTTATATATGGTATAATATTACAATTTGAAGAAGATGGTGTTCTACTAGTTTCGATGTACCGTGGTTGTGTATGCTGCATCAGGATCATCCTCCAATATCCGTGACAGTCCAAAGTCAGACACTTTGCACACTAGGTTACTGTTCACAAGGATGTTGCGGGCCGCTAGGTCCCGGTGGACATATCCCAAGTCAGACAGATACTTCATTCCTGATCCAATACCTCGCAGCATGCCAACCAACTGAATTATGGTAAACTGGCCATCACGGGTCTGAAGGAAACACAACGTTATTTATTTACGGATTGTGCAACCCTAATCTTATAGGGATGGGATACTAAAGGATTTATGGAGTCAGGAAAAAATATGAACCTCACTACACAGGTGACATTATTGTATAGAGAGAAATGTCAGATTTGAAGAAATGTAGGAGATATATAATGGCAGGGGAAATTTTTCAAAAAAACAATTAACAGAATCTCCTCATGTTATAGTACAGGATGAATAGGATAATTGAGGTTCCTAAAAGTGACTCGCTGATAGTGGCTAACCGATTGAAATCTGATGAATGCTTTATGGGAGGTCCACTGAAAAAAACAGACCCACATTTTTATAACAATAAAGTGGATACTAATTGTTTGTTTACCGGTTCTTATCGCAATATGTTACGTTAGGAACCTTACCCTCAAGAAGGAATCCAAAGACCCATTCTCCATATATTCTGCTACAATCATTGTTAATTTGCCTGAAAGTATAAAGACAAAAGAGACGAGAGCATTGTCAGAATCAGAGATAGGAGAAAATAAATCAAAAACCCATTTAAAGATAGTGATGGCTCCTGAAGCTGACAGGACTGCAGCTAAACGGTGTCGGTTCCTGTAAGGAAGTTGAAGGATACATACTTCAATTAATCATTTTTCATACAACCTCAACAGTGAAGATTCGTCTCTCTGAAATGTCTGGCAGAATCTAGGACTAAAGAGACATCTCACTCGGTAACACAACGCAATCCTTTAAAAATCTGTCAAGTTCTCCACCTTTACATCGATGTACAAGTTACTTACTAGGAGTGGACTCCCTTACAAAACGCACAGAAAAGGAGAAAAATCACATCCAAACCTCAACGCACATATGAAATAAATGCAAAACCATGAACTCTCCCTCACCAACCTACCACAAGGCTGAGCTTACACTGAAGATACCTGGGGAACTGGATGAAACTTGGGTGTTCAATGAATTTTTTGACACCTCCATTTCTTTAATAACTTTAAAGCTGGCTTTAGGGCACAATGGAGGGATGGATATTTTTGTTCATTAAGTATTCATGGTATGCTGTATGATAACAATGGAAATATACTCTATATACTTATATAGAAACATGCACAATAGGTATTTAGTAATGTTTGTCAGTGTTGGACCCAGTGATCTTTAAAGAAGAAATTATGCTAGGTTGGGGGCCTTGTGTGGTTAAGATTGAGAGGATAGTTATTCTTAGATTGCATGAGAACACACGTCACTTACTCCTTGTTACCACTCCCTCCAGGTGAATGACATTCGGGTGGTCAAATTGTGCCATGATACTGGCTTCACTCAGGAAGTCCTGTCTCTGTTTTTCGGTGTACCCGGATTTCAATGTTTTTATGGCCACTGGGATCTCACGCTTTCCTGGTAGTTTGAGACGACCATAACAGACTTCCCCAAACTCTCCTGAAAATGTACAAGAGAGAAGAGATTACTCAATATCACTTCTAAATAGCACATCCATACTGTATGGATTTTGTTAAATTAATCGAGATATATCTTGTGGTACCTTCTGAGAAAGACATATTAACACCTGATATGTTTAAATTTACTGTCAGGCCTATAAACTAACAAGCATGAAACCAAGAGGTTTATCATGCATTTTCTGTTATATGATTACTTTTAAAGTATCCAGAAATAATAGCCCATGCATAATAATAGTTTAGGTTTGGTTGTAGTACGTTGCTATAATGTCATTTGGCAGCCATACAGTTAAATTTTCAGTGTTTGGAATTTGATCCCCTGCATGGCCTCTTTCAATCAGGACAATAAATTACACAAACCTGATCCAATTATCTTTTCAATCTTAATTCTGGACGCCTCTATCTCCCGAGCAAACTCGTGAACAGCCTGGCATGGGTCCTCGTAAGTGTGAGGGTCTACATAAAGCTTCGACTCTGCGAAGGTGACTGGATGACCGGAACGAGAGAGAAGATGTTGTCAGGCATCAGTGTGAACTCACAACCCCATCCCGCTTGCCGTGATAATCACTAACAATCTCACAGTAGCTGAGACAAAAAAATACACGTTCGTATGGAATGTATTCAATGCAAGTCAGAAAACCACATTCAATGCTCTAGAATTGACTCTTGCTGTACACAGGGGAAGATCAGCATATTTTACTGCATTGAGTTGTGCCCATCTGCATGTATTAAAGTCTAACGTATTTCATGTGATAGCATGTCTAGAAAATGTCATGCATGTGTGCTTTGACCCTGTCTATACCGGGTTTCTTACTTTTGGGTAATATTCTTGATGTGTAGGAGATGTCTACGTGGGTATATGAACATTCTAAGTAACTTGTATATAAAGTGAGATATCTAGGAAAATGAGTTCTGGACATATATGGAATGTGTCAGGTATATATTAGGAATATGTAAGGGTTCCACTTATTATATATGAGAAATCTAGAATGTTTAGGTTAACTGAATGCAATACAATACGCAGAATTGTGGTTGCTTTATAAGCCAGATGACCATATAAGTACTGTGTGTCTCTTTTGGACAAGAGACACAACTATTGCAAAAATTACTACAATGATATTTAAAATAGGATTAATACAAAAATAAATAAAACCTATGTGAGAGTAAATAGTACTTTTCATCAATAACTTCAGATTAAACCCTATGGAGTTTATAAATGATTCTTAGTAACATTCAATAAAATAAAAGAAAAAACATGCTTTGGAGATATCGAGCATACAGCGTAAATTAAATGGAAGATGAATATTTATCAGCCAGGTTTATTTCATAGCAAATACACTTGCTTTCTTTCCGCGTTATTTATTTCTAGAGAAGCAGAAATTCATTTTATTTATTGACGGCAAAGTAAAACGTTTCCCTGTGCCAAGAGTTTAAACCCTGGACTCCGGTGTCTAATCACTGCTTGATCTGCACTATACCTACTGAATAATGAAAACCAGTATAAGCAGCAGGTGTTCTCTATCTCCCGAGTTCCCTTTATATGTTTGAACTCACTTTGTCCATTCTGATAGTGAGTTTTCTCTTCATCCGAATCCTGGAATGCCTTACTGTACCCACAATGTCTGCAGGAACGAGAAAACAAAAAGGTAGACAGAGAGCTTGATACTAGGTTTCTCTGAGCTTGAAAAATCCGCTGCAGAGGAATTTATCACGGAAAGGTGTGGGCGTGTAATTACATGTTAAAAAACATGGTAATGCTTACAGTTACCTTTTCTTGCAGATTAGAACAGCCAGTAAGATGACTAGGCCGGTAATTAGCGTCAGGCAGATCCATACAATAGTCATGGTGTCATATCGTAGAACCACTGGAACACAAAAACAATAAGGATCAGAAATACAAAATCTAGCGAAACTCTATGACATTCAATATATTGTGTTTTTCCTTTAACCCTCTCACTACCGAGCATTTTATTGAAGAGAAGAAATGTAAAATAACTCGTTTGAAAGGATGGATAGCAAATATATAAACATATCATAACACAACAATCTCTCGTGTATATCGCTTTGCAGACAAATGTCAATTTCCACCATTTTTATTTTTCCTTTCATCGCTCAGTCTTTATAAAAATATTTGAGAGATGAAACACTTTAGACAGTATTTGGTGTCCTTTATTATGGAATATTTCACGCAGGGTCTGAAATGTGAGTGTAAAAGCAAAAAAATGCAATTTTGCTCACATACAGTAGATGTGACAAAAATAGATTCATAAAAATGGTCAAATATATTGCTTTTTGTAAAGATCCCAATGGCATTACTACAAGTACAGCTTACTAAAATAGAAATAGAATGTAAAAAGTATGTCTGTATTTGAGGATAATGCCCATATACAGAAATTACAGTTAAATCATATATTTCTAAAATAAAGATGTTTAAAACTGCTATAGCAGTTTGTATCAATCTCTACATAACAACCATTCGGCCCATTTAGTCTGCCCAATTTTATAAATACTTTCATTAGTCCTTGGCTAGGATAGCCTTATGCCTATCCCATGTATGCTTAACCTCCTTTACTGTGTTAACTGTTAACCTCTACCACTTCAGCTGGAAGGCTATTCCATGCATCCACTACCCTCTCAGTAAAGTAATACTTCCTAATATTATTTATAAACCTTTGTCCCTCTAATTTAAGACTATGTCCTCTTGTTGTGGTAGTTTTTCTTCTTTTAAATATAGTCTCCTCCTTTACCGTGTTGATTCCCTTTATGTATTTAATTGTTTCTATCATATCCTCCCTGTCTCGTCTTTCCTCCAAGCTATACATGTTAAGATCCTTTAACCTTTCCTGGTAAGTTTTATCCCGCAATCCATGAACCAGTTTAGTAGCCCTTCTCTGAACTCTTTCCAAAGTATCAATATCCTTCTGAAGATACGGTCTCCAGTACTGCATACAATACTCCAAGTGAGGTCTCACCAGTGTTCTGTACAATGGCATGAGCCATAGGCGTGCGCAGCCTATTGCATTTGGGTGTGCACCCTAAAGCACAAACACACGCCGCGTGTGTGTGTGTGTGTGGATATATCTATCTATATATCTATATCTATATCTATATATATACAGGGAGTGCAGAATTATTAGGCAAGTTGTATTTTTGAGGATTAATTTTATTATTGAACAACAACCATGTTCTCAATGAACCCAAAAAACTCATTAATATCAAAGCTGAATATTTTTGGAAGTAGTTTTTAGTTTGTTTTTAGTTATAGCTATGTTAGGGGGATATCTGTGTGTGCAGGTGACTATTACTGTGCATAATTATTAGGCAACTTAACAAAAAACAAATATATACCCATTTCAATTATTTATTATTACCAGTGAAACCAATATAACATCTCAACATTCACAAATATACATTTCTGACATTCAAAAACAAAAAAAACAAATCAGTGACCAATATAGCCACCTTTCTTTGCAAGGACACTCAAAAGCCTGCCATCCATGGATTCTGTCAGTGTTTTGATCTGTTCACCATCAACATTGCGTGCAGCAGCAACCACAACCTCCCAGACACTGTTCAGAGAGGTGTACTGTTTTCCCTCCTTGTAAATCTCACATTTGATGATGGACCACAGGTTCTCAATGGGGTTCAGATCAGGTGAACAAGGAGGCCATGTCATTAGATTTTCTTCTTTTATACCCTTTCTTGCCAGCCACGCTGTGGAGTACTTGGACGCGTGTGATGGAGCATTGTCCTGCATGAAAATCATGTTTTCTTGAAGGATGCAGACTTCTTCCTGTACCACTGCTTGAAGAAGGTGTCTTCCAGGAACTGGCAGTAGGACTGGGAGTTGAGCTTGACTCCATCCTCAACCCGAAAAGGCCCCACAAGCTCATCTTTGATGATACCAGCCCAAACCAGTACTCCACCTCCACCTTGCTGGCGTCTGAGTCGGACTGGAGCTCTCTGCCCTTTACCAATCCAGCCACGGGCCCATCCATCTGGCCCATCAAGACTCACTCTCATTTCATCAGTACATAAAACCTTAGAAAAATCAGTCTTGAGATATTTCTTGGCCCAGTCTTGACGTTTCAGCTTGTGTGTCTTGTTCAGTGGTGGTCGTCTTTCAGCCTTTCTTACCTTGGCCATGTCTCTGAGTATTGCACACCTTGTGCTTTTGGGCACTCCAGTGATGTTGCAGCTCTGAAATATGGCCAAACTGGTGGCAAGTGGCATCGTGGCAGCTGCACGCTTGACTTTTCTCAGTTCATGGGCAGTTATTTTGCGCCTTGGTTTTTCCACACGCTTCTTGCGACCCTGTTGACTATTTTGAATGAAACGCTTGATTGTTCGATGATCACGCTTCAGAAGCTTTGCAATTTTAAGAGTGCTGCATCCCTCTGCAAGATATCTCACTATTTTTGACTTTTCTGAGCCTGTCAAGTCCTTCTTTTGACCCATTTTGCCAAAGGAAAGGAAGTTGCCTAATAATTATGCACACCTGATATAGGGTGTTGATGTCATTAGACCACACCCCTTCTCATTACAGAGATGCACATCACCTAATATGCTTAATTGGTAGTAGGCTTTCGAGCCTATACAGCTTGGAGTAAGACAACATGCATAAAGAGGATGATGTGGTCAAAATACTAATTTGCCTAATAATTCTGCACTCCCTGTATGTGTGTCTTGTGTGTATATATATATATATAGATAGATAGATATATCCACACACACACACTGCTGTGTGTGCTGTTAGTGTGCTGTGTGATACCTAGCTCAGCCTTCCTACTGGGCATTGCTATGTGAAGTGTTAAAAAAAAAAATGTAAAAAAGGAAAAAAAAAGGTGGGAGAGGAGGGGAGCTGACGCACAGATGAGAAATCATATTATGCGCAAACAGAGAAGTCGTCTGAATATCACCAAAAGAGGAGACCTTCGTTTGTTCCTTACGAAAATCGAACCAGATATCAAATATTTAGTCTTGCAGCATCAACCTCAAGGATCACTAGTAAAGGTAATTTCAATTTACTTTATTGTTTTCTCATTAAACTTTATAAAGTTAAAAACATTATAAACATGCATTACTAGAAATAAAAAGATAAATGTACATACATTTATTTTTTTTAAAACACCCTCCTTTCGAAAAAATATTCCGCACTTGCGCGAAAACTGGTGGGCGGTAAGGAAATTTTTTCAACCAAAAAGATGCATTAGTGGGCGGTAGGTAGAAAAAGATTGACTACCACTGGTGTAAAGCATATGTGGCGGCAACCAGGTGAGGAGTACAAAGACAAGTGTGTCTTGCATACAGTCAAGCATGGTGGTGGGAGTGTCATGGTCTGGGCCTGCATGATTGCTGCCGGCACTGGGGAGCTACAATTCATTGAGGGAACCATGAATGCCAACATGTACTAAGACATAATGAAGCAGAGCATGATCCCCTCACTTTGGAGATTGGGCCGCAGGGCAGTATTCCAGCATGATAACGACCCCAAACACACATCCAAGATGACCACTGCCTTGCTAAAGAAGCTGAAGGTAAAGGTGATGGACTGGCCAAGCATGTCTCCAGACCTAAACCCTATTGAGCATCTGTGGGGCATCCTCAAATGGAAGGTGGGGGAGCGCAAGGTCTCTAACATCCACCAGCTCTGTGATGTTGTCATGGAGGAGTGGAAGAGGACCCCAGTGGCAACCTGTGAAGCTCTGGTGAACACCATGTCCATGAGGGTTAAGGCAGTACTGGAAAATAATGGTGGCCACACAAAATATTGACACTTTGGACCCAATTTGGACATTTCCACTTAGGGGTGTTCTCACTTTTGTTGCCAACGGTTTAGACATTAATGGTTGTGTGTTGAGTTATTTTGAGGGGACAGCAAATTTACATTGTTATACTGGATGTACACTTACTACTTTACATTGTTGCAGAGTGTTATTTCTTCAGTGTTGTCACATGAAATAATAATATATTTACAAAAAATGTGAGGGGTGTACTCACTTTTGTGAGATACTGTATATCACTCATTTATTTATCCACAAGACTGTTTTCTGGAGCAGTAATCTAAATGCCTTTTAGTAGTACTCCCTATTTTAGTGTATATTCAATGGCAATTGAAGAATAGACCAATGGGGTAAATTTACAAATAAGAAATGGTTGGCAAGCAAACGCCATATACATAATTTTGGTCCCTATTGAAAATGTCCAATATGCTAGCACAATCTTAGATGAAATTTATAGTTTTTTAATTCAAGCCAACATTTGCTGGGCATCACAGATACTCTTTAAAAATTGCCAAAATGCCTATTTAAGACTTAAAATGAAATTACGCAATGTATAGGCCTGATATGTTAATCTTTTCCTGGTTGGTTTTATTGGGTATTTGAATAACAGGGCATGACATAACCAAAAGCTGAAGTTGATAAAAGCATCATAAAACTGTAATGAACTTTAAAGAACAGATAGCATTGGATAAGTATGTGTTTTAGAAATGCACTTATCATTTATACAAAGCATATACCCACGTAACTGTTATGAACCATCAGTGACTTACAGTTGGTAGATGGATTAGTTTTAAATATATTACATTTGACTTTAATAAATTTTGCTATTATTGTCATCATTTTATTATCATTATTTTACAATCACAATCACACAACATTTAGTAAATAGGTTTTGATAATCATTCAGGATTATTTAATTAAGTGAGAATTTAAAGTTAATTAACAGTGCTATTCTTTCAGTTTGGCTACTCTGGTTTTAAATTTGAAATTAATTTTGAATTCTCATTATAGTAAATAACTTTGAACTTTGAACTTTGTAATACACGTATGAAAGATGAGAGA